TGTCGAATCACTGAGCTGCTGTGAGTTTTCCGGGCTGTATGTCCACGTTCCAGAAGCACTCTCTCCTGAAGTTTCGCCCACATCTATGTCAGGCATCCTTGGAGGTTGTGAGATCGGTTGGAAAACTAGACAAGTGGGGTTTATATATCTGTAGAATGCCCAGGGTGCGAGAAAAAGGTCTTGTCGCTACAAGACTTTCCCTTATCTGGTTGTTGTGAGTTTTCCGGGCTGTATGGCCATGCTCCAGAAGCATTCTCTCCTGTCGTTTCGCCCAGGGTGGGAGAAAGAACTCTTGTCTGCTTGAGGCAAGTGTGAATGCTGCAATTGGCCACCTTGATTAGCATTGAAAAGCCTTGCAGCTTCAAAGCCTGCGTGGGGGAATCCTTTCTTGGGCTGCGTTAGCTGGCCTTGGTTGTTTCATGTTTCATAGGATTATGAATATGATTCTTTCATATTCAGAGGTGGTTTGGCCAGTTCCTTCCGCTGAAATCTAGCCTACAGCACCGGGTATTGCTTCGAGGCCTCCCATCCAAGTCCGAACCAGGACTGACCCTGCTTAGCGCCCGAGATCAGGCCGATATGGGGCCGATAAAAAGGGAAAGGGCCGGAAAGGCGAACGGAATTGATTGACAGGGGCGGAAGAAAACAGTAAGCAAAGGGTCCCTTACTAGCATCTTAAATATTATTTTAAGCGAAGGAGAAGGAGAAAGGGCAGCCAAAAATTCCTTCTAAAGTCCGGCTGAAACGACGTTGGGGAGAAATCTGCTGCCTTGTCAGATCTGGGGTTTTATCCTTACAGGACAGAAATGGCAATACTTATGTGAACTACTGGAGAGTATGTTTACTTTGAACGGTATCTGTTTTACGGCTAATTCCATAGCAGTAAGGTGTAACTAGGTTGCTGTGAGTTTTCCGGGCTATATGGCCATGTTCCAGAAGCATTCTCTCCTGATGTTTCCCCTGCATCCTCGGGGGTTGTGAGTATGGTGTAAGCCTTTATTAGTTTACATCCAAAAGGTGTGGTTGCTGACTCAATGCAAAAAAAAAAAAAAAAAACTTGCGTCCGGTTACCCTGTTTTTGGTCTCTACGGTTTTGGTCTCTACGAATTTTTGTCTGAAGTGCCCTTCCTTCAGCCCCTTCTCTTTCCAATTGCATCACACTAGAGAATGAATCCACTTTAAATCCGCTTTCTTCCACCTGCAGAATGCTAGGGTTTGTAGTTTAGGGAGACTGTGAAGGGCTCCTCCCTAAACTACAAACCCCAGAATTCTGCAGGAGGCAGCAACAGGATTTAAAGTGGATTCATTCTCTGGTGTGATGAGGTTACAAGACGACCTCCTTCTCTGGAATTCAATAGGAGTGTCGGAGAAATGTGCGGGGTTTGGTTGGCATTGGCTTGCCCTTCCGTCCAAGCGAGGAAACGCGTTTCCCGTTGATTTTCGGGGAAGGAAGGAGCTGTCAGCTGGGACACACATTAGTCAGATTTGTTTGGGGATCATGACAAAAAAAACCGCGTAGATGGGCGCGGAGTTAAGTTCCCGTCCTCTTAAAAAGAGAGAAAAGGAAGCGGGAAAGAAAGCGCAGGTCTCAGCAACGCCTGGGTCATTCCGGAGTGAGAAGGGGCTCCGATTTGGGGACTCCGCAACCGCGAAGGGTGAAGGCGAAGGGGAAAGGCTCGGCTCCCGTTCCTCTGAACCTGGCGGCGTGGGCTCCCTCCGCGGCTGGGAATAGGCCTGGTTCCCGCCGCCTCTCCGCCGTTCCCCCAATTACAGAATTCATCAAGAACTCAGCGGCATTATCTCTTTCCCATACAGTATCAGCATTAGCCTAATTAAAAGCTATAATGTCTGATATAATGATTAAATCGTTAGCTCGGCTGTAGGGGGAAAGCCATATTTTGTTTTCCCTTCAATTAGAAGCTGATTGAGGTTTTTCAGAGCAGGTCAGCTGTGAAATTTGAATTATATGTGAGAGCCCGGGCGGCGCAGAGGGCTCAGCCCCGGTCCCCCAGCCTCGCACGGGCCCTCGAAAGGGCGCGGAAAAGGGGCCCACGAGTTGACACGAGGGGGAGGAGGGGAAGGGGGAGGTAAGGGGAATGAAAGGGAAAGGAGAAGGGAAAGAGAGGAAAGGAAAAGGAAGGGAAAGGAAGGGGGAGGGGAGGAGGGGGAGGGAAGGGGAAGGGAGAAGGGAAGGGAAGGAGAAGAGAGGGGAAGGGGAAGGAGGGAAGGAAGGAAGGAGAGGAGAGGAAAGGAAAGGGAAGAAGGAAAGGAAGGAAGGAAGGAAGGAAAGGGGGAAGGAGAAGAAGGGAAGGAAGGAGAGGAAAGGAAAGGGAAGAGGGAAAGGAGAAGGAAGAGAGAGGAAAGGAAAAGGAAGGGAAGGGAAGGGAGGGAAAGGAGGAAGGGAAGGGGAAGGAGGAAGGGAAGGAAGAAGAGAGGGGAAGGGAAGGGGGAAGGGAAGGGGAGGAAAGGAAAGGGAAGGAAAGGAGAAGAGAGGAAGGAGAAGAGGGGAAGGGAAGGGAAGGAAGGGAAGGAGAAGGAAGGAAGGAAAGAGAGGAAGGGAGGGAAGGGGAAAAGGGAAGGAAGGAAAAGAGAAAAGGGAAGGAGAGAAGGGGAGGGAAGGAGAAAGGAAAGAAAGGAAGGAAGGAAGAAAGGGAAGAGGAAAAGAAGGGGAAGGAGAAGGGAAGGGAAGGGAGGAAAGGGAAGGAAGGAAAGGAGAAGAAGGAAAGGAAGAGAGGAAGGGGAAGGGAAGGGAATGGGGAAGGAAGGGAAAAGGAAAGGCAAGGCGAAGAGAGGCGAAGGGAAGGGAAGGCATGTGAAGGAGGCGGAAGAAAGGAGCGTTCACTTTCGGAATAGATTCTGGGGATCGCAATAGGCCTATCTGGATCTACATCTTGAACCGTTATAGGCGACATTCCTCGATACCAAGAGGTGGGAGGTGAGACTACAGGAAGTGAGAGGAAATCTACTCCTCAGAAGCAAAATTCACTCCTGGAAGAGTTATTATACTGGGGGAAAGTTGTCTCCATTGAAGCTTTCTCATCAAGTTTTTCAAAATCCAATTATTACAAGGATAGAAAGTGAGAGGAGGAACAGGGGCACAGAGAGCAAAACAAACCCCACAGGAGTGTGAACCCTTTCCTGTGCGATCCAAAGCTAAAGAATATTATATATATATATTTGGATGGAGTTGCACTTTAAAAATGTAGCTGTTCCGACTTACATACAAATTCAACTTACGAATAAGCTACACAATGTGTTGTGGACGGATTTCATGGCTGTGAGTTTTCCGGGCTGTATGGCCATGTTCCAGAAGCATGCTCTTCTGACGTTTCGCCCACATCTATGGCAGACATCCTCAGAGGTTGTGAGATCTGTTGGAAACTAGGGCAACGGGTTTGTTTGTTTTTTTGTATGTGTGGAATGTCCTGGGCGGGGAAAAAGAACTCTTCTGCTTTCCTAACCCACACAAGTTATGTCCATAACTGGGGAGTGCCTGTCTTTTGGGTCTATACTGAGCATATACTGCAGTTCAAACTGTATTATATGGCAGTGTAGACCCAGCCCCCTCCCCTTCTCGTCCCTTTCCAAATGCATACTTCTTCCAAGATCAAGGGTGAGGCAAGCAGGTTCCGATGGCTCTGTTGGACGACTGTTTGTTCTGCGCGTTTCGGAAATGGGTGGGTTCGCTCCGGGTTCATTTGGAGAAGTGGTTTGGGACTGTGTTGTGCAATGCTTTCATGGCCGGAATCACTGGGTTGCTGTGAGTTTTCCGGGCTGTATGGCTATGTTCGAGAAGCATTCTCTCCTGACGTTTCGCCCACATGGCACCCTCAGAGGTTTTGAGCTCTGTTGGAAACTAGGCAAATGGGATTACTATATCTGTGGAATGCCCAGGATGGGAGAAAGTACTCATGTCTGCCTGAGGCAAGTTTGAATGTCGCTACTGGCCAGTTTGATTAGCATTGAGTAGCCTTGCAGCTTCAAAGCCTAGCTGTTACATGCCTGGAGGAATCATTTGTTGGGAGGTGTTATTATGCAAATAATATTATTTGAGAACACAGAAATGCTGGATCACTCTAACTACAGAGTACAGAGAGAAGCCATTGAAATACACAAGTATGTGGGCAGTTTTAAGAAAAAGGAGGAAACCACGAAAATAAACAACTCTGGCTACCAGTATTAAAAAAAACTCTAAAATCAGACAGTAAACAAAGAACAACACTCAGAAAACAGGGGAATTCCAGACAGGAAACAACATCACCTCCCAACAAAGGATTCTTCTAGGCAGGAAGTAACCAAGCCTTGAAGCTGCAAGGCTATTCAGTGCTAATCAAGCTGGCCAATTGCAACATGCACACTTGCCTCAGGCAGACAAGTGTTCTTTCCCCCATCCTAAACATTCCACAGGCTTGCCTAGTTTCCAACAGAACTCACAACATCTAAGGATGCCTGCCATAGATGTGGGTGAAATGTCAGAAGGGAATGCTTCTGGAACATGGCCATACAGCCCGGAAAACTCAGCGCAACCCATTGATTTGGTGGGACTTGTCAACCGCAAAGGATCTGGAGAAGGAGGGGAAAGGGACCCGGGAGGCAAAGGGGAGCCGTTCCGGATCCAAGGGCGGCGGATGGTTGGAGGTTCTCCTTTTCTTCTTCTTCCTGGAGTTTCGGAGCAGCCACCAGGCGGCGATCGCCTCCCGCGCTGGGGAGCCCCCCTCGCTCAGATGCCGCCCTCAGGGCCGGCTGCCCCCTCCTCCCTCTCCCCAAGGGGCTCTCTTCCCCCCCCTCCTCCGTCTTACCCAAGAAGGGACCGCCTGAGATGCCGCCGCCACTCACTCACTCACTTACTCTCACACTCACTTTGCCCCCCAGGAAGGGCGTTGAGCGCAAGGGCAAGTGGGCCCCTTAAACATTAGACAAGACATTGAAAATGTTTATCACCTGTTCCTAGCTGGAAACCATGGTGGAAGTTCCAATATTATTACTGCATGCAACTAACAGTCATATGATATTATTTTAATAAGAAAAAATAAAATCAGTTCATCCTTTGTCTCCTGGCAACCCCTCTTTATAGACTCAGTGCTCCACTGCCCACCCTTTTGCTCAAAAGGTTTGCTTCCACATTACCTGTTTCATACTGAATTATATGAGTCTTCACTGCCATATAATCCACTTCAAAGCAGATAATCTAGATAACCACCCCCACCCCTGGCACAGTGGGTTAAACCCCTGTGCAGGTAGGTCTGAAGACCGACAGGTCGCAGGTTCGAATCCGGGGAGAACGCAGATGAGCTCCCTCTATCAGCTCCAGCTCCAACTCCTCATGGGGGGACATGAGAGAAGCCTCCCACAAGGATGGTAAAAACATCAAAACATCCGGGCATCCCCTGGGCAACGTCCTTGCAGACGGCCACTTCTCTCACACCAGAAGCGACTTGCAGTTTCCCAAGTCGCTCCTAATACGACAACAAATCTAGATTTTAGATGGGGCCTAAGGGTAGATCTACACTGCCATATAACTCCAGATTATCTACTTTGAACCGGATTATATGGCAGTGTAGATACAACCGGATTCTGTCCCAAAAGTTGAGAATCTAGGATCCACCCTTCGTTTGGTTTCCAAACGTGCCCTAGAGTCACCCAGGACTTCACTACACTGATCATTTGAGTCACTTTCAAATCGGTGGATTAATGAGCCGGCAGGACTGCTGGTTCGAATCCGGGAGCGGGGTGAGCTCCCGTTTGTCAGCTCCAGCTTCTCATGCAAGGACACTAGAGAAGTCTCTCACAGGATTGTAAAACATCCGGGCGTCCCCTGGGCAACGTCCTTGCAGGCGGCCAATTCTCCAATTCTCTCACACCGGCATTGACAAAAGTGGAACTAGTGTGATGACACAAACTACATTGTTCTGATGCTGGGCGGGGTGGGCTATCTTTCCCGCGCTTTTGTAGGAGTTTGTTGCCTGGGCCCAGCGGTTGAAGCTAGTTTCTAACCGCATTAAATGGCCGGTGTAGATGGGACCCTAAGAGCACTCCTGTGGGTGTAGGAAGCAGCAGTCAGACCGGGTTTTGCGGTTGGTGTTCCTTTGAAGACGACGCCCGAAGTCACACCAAGAAAAGATCCATCCGGAGAGAGGTTTCACTCTGTAAACCGCTGTGGGGGAGAAAGCGATAGAAATAAGGGAGCAATAGAATAATAAAACATTATTATCATATTTATATTTATATGCCTCCTTTTTCAGGGACTGGAGGAGTCCCGTTTTCAGTGGGAGTCACTCTCAAAGAGTACATCAAGTTTTCCTTCGAGAGCGCGTGGGGAATGAAGACCACGAGAATTAAGGCCCCCTTCCCCATCTTTTGCTTGACTTCTATATTGGTCAGTGTAGTCTTTTGGGGCACCGGAGTTATCTAGCTGGTGCGCCCAGAGCTGTCAGTCACCGGTCTCTTAGCAACAAGACCCGCCTTGAAGAATGGGGGCGCCCCTAAGGCCTCGAAGTTTGGCCACGCGGAGGCAGAAACCTCACCAGAGTTTGGAAGGTGTCTTGCAGGGCCGCAGGAAGTTTGGACAGGGGCACACATACGATTTCCTCACTACTCTGGTTTCCTTCGACTTATACATGAGCAAGGATTTCTGTCATCAAACGAATTGGCAAATTCAAGGGGAAAATATAACGCACCAAGGAATTTAATTTTCTTTACTAAACAACCTCAGCACGGTTTTGATGAACCAGTTGTATCTCAGGTTGCATCTACACTGCCATATAATCCGGTTCAAAGCTATATGGCAGTGTAGATCCACCCTTAGGCCCCATCTAAAATCCAGATTATCTGCTTTGAAGTGGATTATATGGAAGTGTAGACTCATATAATTCAGTACGAAACAGATAATGTGGATTATCTGCTTTGACAATTTAGATTGTATGGCAGTGTAGAAGGGGTCTTAGTTTTCAATTCTGTAAAATGGGGAGGAAGTATAGCAGCTAACCTCACAGTTTTCTCCCACAGATGAAGATCACAGGAGCATGAAAATATTAAAAATAAAATAAAACATAATCTATTCTAAATGGTAATACGTGATCCTAAGTAGGACCTATCATGGTTTTCTGGGGCTGAGAGGGTGAGACCCATTCAAGGTCAACCTGTGGGTTTCCATGGCCCAACAGGGATTTGAACCTTGGTCTCCCGGAATTGTAGCCCGATGCTTCCTGATTAGTTGGAAGTAAATCTCAGTATATTGCCTGGAATTAATTCCCAAACCTGTGCAGGGCTGGACCTAATTCCCTTCTGCTTGCTCAGGGGAAAATCAGCCCTATTTACTTTCGGGAAATTCATTCAAAGAGGTCCACAGACTAATGTCTCTAACTATATTTCAAGTGATTACTCGAAAACTAAAAATGATACTTAATCTCCGAAACAGCTGCCCATAGATAAGATCTTTAGATGGAATCATAGAATCCTTCATTTGGAAGAGGGCCATCCAGTCCAACCCCCTGCCAAGGAGCAGGAAGATCCCATTCAAAGCACTCCCGACAGATGGCCATCCAGCCTCTGTTTAAAAGCCTCCAAAGAAGGAGCCTCCACTACACTCTAAAGCAGAGAGTTCCACTGCTAAACAGCTCTCAAAGGAAGTTCTTCCTAGTGTTCAGGTGGAATCTGGTTTCCTGTAATTTGAAGCCACTGGTCAGCTTCCTAATCTCCAGGGCAGCAGAAAACAAAGTTGTTCCCTCCTCCCTATGACTGTCCCTCACATCTTTAAGTGTCATTATTATTATTATTATTATTATTATTATTATTATTATTATTATTATGTTGTTGTTGTTATTGTTGTTGTTGTTGTTGTTGTTGTTGTTGTTATTTTGGCCACATAATGAGAAGACAGGAAAGCTTAGAGAAGACAATGATGCTGGGGGAAATGGAAGGAAAAAGGAAGAGGGGCCAACCAAGGGCAAGATGGATGGATGGCATCCTTGAAGTGACTGGCTTGACCTTGAAGGAGCTGGGGGTGGTGATGACCGACAGGAAGCTCTGGCATGGGCTGGTTCATGATGTCAGGAAGAGTCGGAAACGACTAAACGAATAAACAACATTATTATTATTATTATTATTATTATTATTATTATTATTATTCCCCTGTGAAATCCTAAGCACACCATCCCTTATAGCTACCATATAATAATAATAATAATAATAATAATAATAATAATAATAATAATAATAATAATTTCGATACCGCCCTGTCTCCCAAAAGGTACTCCGGGCGGTGTACAACAAAAGATCGGCAAACATGCAATGCCTGAGAAACATAACATAATAAAGCACCGTTCAAACGTATATTTCGCTCCTTATGTTAGCAGTTAATAGAATTTTATTCACTTCAGTCTCGAGCTATCCCTGAAATAAGGGTGTGTGTGTATATATGTGTGTGTGGAGGAACAGATCAATAGGACCTCATTGGTGATTGCATTTATCTCATATATAGAGAGGAGGGGAGGGGGAGAGAGAGTGTGTGTGCACACACACACACACTCACACACACACACACAATGCTCTTTCCGTCTGCGCCAATGGCAAGTCCCTTATCTAATATTTATATTGCATGTATGTTGGTGCCTTTAAGACCACTGAGGGCAATCCCATCTTAAGCAAGGAATGCTCAGAGCTGGTTTTTCCCATTCTTTCCTCTGAAGTAGAGTCCTCAGTACCTGGCATTGGTTGGGGGGGGGGGTCTCCCATTCAATTACTACTCCTTAGTCTCCACCATCGGAAGGGATCTAGTGCTTTTGGTATTTAAATTCACTATCCATAAACAAAGGAGGGCACTGTGTGCTGGACTAGCCCTTGGCTCCTGTAAGGTGCCCACTTTGACTTCTTGAGCTGTTCTAATTCGGGCAGTGCTTCGCTGTGAAAGGCCAATGTTGTGTTTTGAAGTGAGAAAGGCTCCAGATCCTCCATGGATCCTTGAGTTTTTGGATTTTCGGATAGAGTTGCAGGTGGGCACTTGACAAATTCTACCCAAGAATCCTCAACTAGGGGTGCATCTGCACTGACATACAATCTGGTTTTTATCTGGCACTGTAGATGGGGCCTAGGAGGCCTGGGGAACATCTCCACTGTGTCTAGTTTCTGGTATGGGATATTTTGTGAAGCCCTGTGAAGCCCAGTGATGTTGGTTTCTCTAACTTCAGCTGTCTTTATTACACTATCTAACACGATTTTTGTTCCTGGATTATAAATGTCATTTCCTAATTGATTCTATCCTTTAAAAACATAGAAACTGCCAAAACTTTATTTTTGTGGGACATCCTGCAACACATTTTGCAATAGTTTTTCAATGAATATCTGAGTCTCCGCCAATTCGACATAGTTTGTGCCATCCACAAAACGAAGTTTCTGTAGTATAATAACTACTTTCAAAGTAAAGAATGCACAATAACCCTTTCAAACCAGGAATAGAATTATTTTCACATTTTGTTACATAGTGTTATCGACATAATCTGCTTTCCATTTTGTAATCTGTTACTGGGACTTGAAGAAACATTAATTATTTAATTTTAAATTGCGGTTTCTTGTCTTTTGAAAGCTTGCTGCTAAAAAACGGTGGTCAAAAATAACTTCGCTGTTGTGTTATGTTTGTCTCTTTTATTGTTTTGGTTACTATCTTTTCACTGGTTTTGAAGTGCTGCTTTTGGGAGCATGAAGCATGAACCTCCTTCTTGCAGAAGTTAATAAAGCCATTCGAGAAAGCATTCAGTTTGGAGCCAGCGCGGTGAAGTGGTTTGAGCTGGATTATTATGGGCACCTTTACAGTGTAGAATCATGCAGTTTGACACCACTTGAATTGCCATGGCTCAACGGAATCATGGGAGTTGAGATCTCACAACCTCTGAGGATGTCTGCGATAGATGTGGGCGAAATGTCAGAAGAGAATGCTTCTGGAACAGGAGCCCGGAAAACTCACAGCATCCCATGGGAGTTGTAGTTTGACAAGATCTGCCAGTGGCTCCAGAAACAATTGTTCCAGTGCATTGAAAGTGGTGTCCTAGTACTTTAAATCCATACTGTAAATGCATCCTTTGTCTCTGGTTCAAATCCCGAACAGCTACTGGATGACCTTGTGAAAGTCGCACTCTCTCAGCCTCAGAGGAAGGCAAGGGCACCCCACCCCCCACCCCCAAACAAGAAAATCCCGTGATACGGTTGCCATATATCTGAAACCACTTGTAGGCAGAGAAGAACAAGCAAATTAGGTGTAGCGTCCAATTAACGGTAGCATTTTTCTTCCTAGTTGCCTATAGATTGTATTGTCGAAGGCTTTCATGGCTGGAATCACTAGTTTCTTGTGGGTTTTTTCGGGCTATATGGCCATGTTCTAGAGGCATTTCTCCTGGAAGGAGGAGGAAGGAGTTAGGAGAAATGCCTCTAGAACATGTCCATATAGCCCGAAAAAACCCACAAGAACCTACTGCCTATAGATTGCTATCATGGCCAGAAGGCTTGTTTAGAAATCCAAATAAAGTCAGGGAAGCGTTGCCACTCAGAGTTTTGCCCCTGTCTTCCATCCCACTAGGGAAATTATGGACTGTCCCAGTGAAACCAATGCCTCAGCAAACCTATGGAATATGGCTAGTACACTGCAGGTTAGGACTTGGATAGGAAACTGCCAAGGAACGCTAGTAGTAGCTCAGTAGATGTATTTCAGAGGAAGGAGCTGATCAAACCACTTCTGAGGATTCCTCGCCTAAGAAAACCCCAGGAAATGCATGAAGTGTTTATAAGTCCACAGGCGGCTTGGAAGGCACTTACACACACTCCCACACATAGTTATTATGTGGCCAGAAGAATTCCAATGCTATAATTTGTTGCTTTCAATAAAAACCATGTTTTGGTTGATATGCACCTTCAAGTGGCAAGATTTCTTCAGTGGAGGTTTGCCATTGCTGCCATTGCCTTCCTCTTAAAGCTGAGAGAGAGTGACTTACCCATCCATAGGCAGGAGCGATTTGGATTCTGGTCTCCCTGAATCCTAATCCAATGCTCAAACCATGTTTAAACCATGTTCAAACCATCATTAAAACGTATTTGCACTGGTGTAAGGAAAAAGCTGTTGATTGATTCAGCTGGAGTTCTGGCATATTAGCAAATTGTTATGAGCTAAATAACTCTGCAGTATCTTACCTAATTTATGACGATCAGTTGGGGGAGGGGGAGCAGTGGAACCAAAGCTATGATACAGGAAATGTAAAACATATACAATTCTATTTAAAAAACGTGCTGTTGATGTTTTCATAAGAGAAGGCTGAGAGGAGACATGATAGCTATGTATAAATATGTGAGAGGAAGTCATAGAGAGGAAGGAGCAAACTTGTTTTCCACTGCCCTGGAGACTAGGACTCGGAACAATGGCTTCAGACTACAAGAAAGGAAATTCCACCTGAATATTAGGAAGAACTTCTTGACTGTGACAGCCGTTCAGCAGTGGAACTCTCTGCCCCGGAGTGTGGTGGAGGCTCCTTCTTTGGAAGCTTTTAAACAGAGGCTGGATGGCCATCTGTCGAGGGTGCTTTGAATGCAATGTTCCTGCTTCTTGGCAGATGCCCCATGAGGCCTCTTCCAACTCTATGATTCTATTGTTTGCCTAAACCCAACTCACTTCCAGCCCCAGCACTTTCGGTGACAGAGAAAGAGTGTGAGAAATTCTCAATACTGTATCTGACAATATTGTCAGCCAAAGGGATGAGTCTGCTAAATTCATACATATGTTGCTATTCATTCTATAATAATGCAGATCAATATAATATCAATTCATGCATAATATATCTAAATCCAAGGAACACATGCAAGCTAAAGTCTTAAATCTTTTAACATCAGGAGAAATATGCCTTTCCAAGTGTAATTCTTTGAAATGGGGGGTCCCCACTCACCCCCATTTGTATCTAATGGAAATTACCTCTATATTCAAGATAAAATGATCTTCATGTAAGGTTCCATGCTCAAACTGGATCAAGTACTGGAATTTGGAGTAGGCCCCTGAGACCTGGTGGAGTTCTGCAAAATATCCCATTCATTACTGATGCAGTGGTTGCAATCCAAAGCACATTCTGTGAGAAAAAAAATTCGGTTGAAATCTGCACAATAGACTCCAGTACTGTATATAAGGCGTCTGTCCTCCAGGCTTCAGGCTATCCCTGTTTAGAGACCTAGGGCCCTTCCACACAGCCATATAACCCAGAATATTAAGACAGGGAATCCCACAATATCTGCTTTGAACTGGGTTATCTGAGTCAACGCTGCCATATATTCCAGTTCAAAGCAGATTTTGTGGGATTCTCTGCCTTGATATTCTGGATTATATGGCTGTGTGGAAGGGCTCCTAGTCTGAAAGGGTTCTTATGGTTGGCACTTTTAACACTCAAATCCTAAATATTACTGGGAATTTAATCCCATTCTTGCCTTGGTTGTACTGGGTTGTAAATGCGGAGTTGTTTACCTATATTGTTTACCTTTCAGCACTGAGTCGATGAGCCTGCTGTAAATTGGGAGAAACCAAAAGTGTTCTAGCTTTATTATAAGAAACATGTATACACTTGGGAACTATTTCCAGAGGAGACATATTCGGTTTGTTGCAGACTGTTAAAAACAATCTTTGGCCTCTTTCTCTATTTAGGATAATGAGAGATCTCTTTCCTGCCAAAACATATCTGTCAATGGAATATAACTTAGTTATGAATTAATTTAAGTCTCCTTCAAGATTGACTAAACCCTTTAGGACACAACTGCAATCTTAGGCAGACCTACCTGGAAGCAAGACCACAATTAAACTCCATGTGGCTTCCTTCTCAATAAATATATGCTATAAAACCTCTTCTTTCCAACCACTTCAAGTACACAATGAGGGAAAAGAGATTTCAGAACCAATGTCAAATTGTAAACAACTGCCATACAATCTCTATATCCCATTGTCCAAACTAGAGTAGACCCATTGAATTCCCCTTTTAATGGATATACCTATATTATTTACCCTCCAGCACTGAGTCCACGAATCTGCTGTAAATTGGGAGAAACCAAAAGGGTTCCAGCTTTATTATAAGAAACATGTATTAACTTGGGAACCATTTCAGTTTGTTGCAGACTATTAAAAAGAATATTTGGCCCCTTTTTCCTTTTTTTTTAAGGGAAGGAGAGATCTCTTTGGTGCCACAATATATTTGCAGTCTTTGGGCCCTTCCACACAGCCCTATATCCCAGAATATCAAGGCAGAAAACCCCACATTATCTGCTTTGAGCTGGAATATATGGCAGTGTGGACTCAGAAAGACCAGTTCAAAGCAGATATTGTGAGATTTTCTGCCTTGATATCCTGGGATATAGGGCTGTGTGGAAGGGCCCTTTAAGGTATTCACAAAGCTCTGTAGAAACTAGATAGTATTTCATATTCAGTTGTATGGATCTCAAGATAACTTTCTGACAGATCTTTTACTATCGGTGTGTGCCTCTGGATGAATCGGGTGATAATCTTTTTGCCAACACACCCCTTCCTTCCTTCCTCATCCATACCTCCCCCCTCCCCTCAAAAACTCCAAACCATCACGTGTGCATAAGCACGCGCTGCTAGGTAACAAAAGACCCAGAAAAAGTTTCTTTCAGAGAGGATGGGAAGAAACTCAGAGGGGAGCTGACCCAATTTAGACCAAAACTCCAGCAGTTTCGAGGAGAAAACTCTTTCTGGGTTTCCAAACAAACCCGGCCGCGAACTCTCTCTCTCTCGCTCTCTCTCTCACGCACACTTTCACAAACAAGGCGAAACCTCTGTGGAGGTGTGCGTGAGTGATTCTGCGCGTGGCTTCCGCGTGAAAACCCATTCCCGCCTGGAAAGGGGGAAAGGACCCGCCGAGTTCTCCTTTTGGAGCTTTCTGGCATCCCAAACGTGGGTCTCCGCGAGATGCCGTGTTGTTGTTGTGGTTGCTCTGGTTGTTTTCCAAGGGGTCGTGACCCCTTCCGGGCCCCTCCCTCCCTCTGCCCCCCATTTCCGCGCCCTCCCCTCCCTTTTCCTTTCAGCAGAGTTTGTACTTCTCACCTCCGGACGTCACTCCTCCCGCGCGCCATGCAAATAATCCCCTCGCCCGTGCGCAGCGATTGGACGAGGCGAACTCATTTAATCCGGGTTCAGCGCGCGGCGTATGGCTGCTGGGCTCGTCTCGAGCTGTATCCCTCTCTCTCTCTCTTTGCCGCTCCTCCTTTCCTGATTCCTCCCAGGCTGTGAGAGAGGAGGGAAAGCATCCACAGAGAACAAATTGCGGCGCAACTTCTGCCTGGAGGCGCTCCGCTCCCCCCTCCTTCCCTCCCTCTTTCTCCCTCCTCACTCTTTTCTTGCTTGCTTGCTTCCTTCCTTTTTTTCTTTCTCACGCTCTCCTCTCCCTCCGTCTCTCCCCTCCCCCTCCGTCATTTAATTACTCCCCTCCTATTCCCTCTCTCTTTCTCCCCCCCCCTTCCAAACACGGAGCGGAGGTGGGAAAGGGGGAGGGGGAATTTCCTGTCTCTCTCTCTCCCTCATCCTCTGTTCACTTGGGACCGGCGGATGCGAGTCACACACGCTCTCTCTCTCTCTCTCTGGAACTGAGCAGAAGGGGGGGGGGCACATTAGATCACTTCGGCAGTATCCGCGAGGAGGAGGAGGAGGGGAGTCCTGCCTCTGTGCGTGTGTTCGTGGCAAAGCGCTGAGAAGCATCGGGCGCGCACACCACACTCGGTGCCAAAGTGGAGCAGCCAGACTTTTCTCTCTCTCTCTTTCTCTCTCTCTCTCTTCCTCCCCCTCCTCCTCCTCTCTCTCTCTTTCCTCCCCCTTTCCTCTCCCACCCCCTCCACCCCCTCCGCTTTGGCTTTCCTTCTTCTCCAGCTCTCTCCGGCTTGCACCTGTTTGAGTCGCTTTTGAATCCGGCTCACCTCCAGCCCCAGCGTTGCCATTGAAGGAGAGAAACTTTTCCATTCTTTTTTTTTCTTTTGGAGCGCGGGCTTTGGAGGAAGGGGACTCTTTCCACCTTTGAACCCCATCACGAGCTCCTCCTCGTCGTCGTCGTCGCTCGAGCCTCGCTCTCCCAGACCGGGTCCTGCTTGCTCCTCCTCCCGGTCCGTCGCGGGCTCTTTCTCCCTTTCGCCTTCGCTCTATGTTTTGACACCCAGCAGCCATGTATAGCATGATGATGGAGACGGACTTGCACTCGCCCGGCGGAGCCCAAGTGGCGACCAGTTTGTCGGGCCAAACGGGAGCCGGAGGAGGCGGCGGAGGAGGAGGCGGAGGAGGAGGAGGCGGCGGCGGCCCCAAAGCCAACCAAGACCGGGTCAAGCGCCCCATGAACGCCTTCATGGTGTGGTCGCGGGGCCAGCGTCGGAAGATGGCGCAGGAGAACCCCAAGATGCACAACTCGGAGATCTCCAAGCGCCTGGGCGCGGAGTGGAAGGTCATGTCCGAGGCGGAGAAGCGGCCCTTCATCGACGAGGCCAAGCGCCTCCGGGCGCTGCACATGAAGGAGCACCCGGATTATAAATACCGCCCGCGGAGGAAGACCAAGACCTTGCTCAAGAAGGACAAGTACTCGCTGGCCGGGGGGCTGCTGGGCGCGGGCGGGCCCGGAGGCGGCGGAGGAGGCGTCGGAGGGGGCCCGCCCGTGGGCCTGGGCGTGGGCCTCAGCCCCGGAGGAGTGGGACAGCGCCTGGAGAGCCCCGGCGGGGGCGGAGGAGGAGGCGGCGGAGGATACCCGCACATGAACGGCTGGGCCAACGGCGCCTACCCGGGCTCGGTAGCCGTGGCGGCGATGATGCAGGAGGCGCAGCTCGCCTACAGCCAGCACCCGGGCGGCGGAGGAGGAGGAGGCGGCGGCGGAGGAGGAGGGCACCCGCACTCGCACCACCCGCACCACCCGCACAACCCGCAGCCCATGCACCGCTATGACATGGGCGCTCTCCAGTACAGCCCGCTGCCCAGCTCGCAGGGCTACATGAGCGCTTCGCCCGCCGCCTACGGGGGCCTCTCCTACGGGTCGCAGGGACACCAGAACTCGGCCGTGGCGGCGGCGGCAGCAGCGGCGGCGGCGGCGGCCTCTTCGGGGGCCCTGGGCGCCTTGGGCTCTCTGGTCAAGGCCGAGCCTAGCGTCAGCCCGCCCGCCGGAGCCGCCCACGCGCGGGCCCCCTGCCCCGGGGACCTGCGGGAGATGATCAGTATGTACTTGCCCGGTGGAGGAGGAGGAGGGGAAGGCGGGGACCCGGCGGTGGCTGCCGCGGCAGCGGCGGCGGCGGCAGCGGCGGCTCAGAGCCGCCTCCACTCCTTGCCCCAGCACTACCAGAGCGCCAGCACGGGGGTGAACGGCACCGTGCCCTTGACGCACATCTGAGGGCAGCGGACCTGCGGACGGGCTGACGGGACCCTCCCACGCGCGTCCCCCACACCCACGCGGAATCTCCAAAACCCACGCGTGTCGCCGTCCCCAGCCTTCGCCGTGCTCTTGGCGCGCCTCTGAGGCCGGCCGACCTAGAGATGGACCGAGGGGACCCTCCCACGCGTGTCCGCATCCTCCACGCGTGTCCGCAGCCCCCAGTCTCACGCGCCTCTGGGGCCCATCGACCCACGGACCAGACGCTATGGGGACGGGACAGACGGACGGACGCTTTCTCTCTCCGTGGGCCCCTCCACCCACCCACTCCCACTCGTGTCCCTCCACCAACCCTTTCCCCTGCTTCCCCTTCCTTTTGTACAGAATCCCGGAGCACCACAAAGAGAGAAATGTTTTGATGGCGTTGTATTAATAATAATATTAATAATAATAATAACGATGACTATAACAAATATTCATATTGCTGAGGGTAATGACAAGAGAAGGTAACCCAGTGCTGTAATGCTTGCACACAAAAGAGTCCTCCAGTCCTCCTTCGTTCCCAAAAGAAGTAGCTTTTGGAACTAGAAGGGGAATTGCTCTCATGAGGATAATTTCTTTTTCCCTTCTGTTGTGGTCGCTTTTCAGACACTGAGGGTTTGGGGAGGATTTTGTACAGTATTTATCATTCACCCAGAAGCCAGGTTTGTTTGTTTTTGAATTTGCTAAAGAAAGGGGTGGGGAGGATGCAAAAGAGGGAGGAAAGAGGAAGAAATGGGACCAGAATTAATAATTATTCAGAGGTTGAGGCGATGCCAACTTTTCTGCCACAGGGGAGCATTCACTGGCCACCTTTTGGACCATTTCTCTTGAAGACTTTTTATTGCCTAATGAAAGTAAACCTAGTGCAAACCGTTTATTACACAAGTACCAAGGATGCAAATCCAAAATTACTTTAATCTTCTTTTTTTGTAGTTCCTATGACGCGGGAATTTTTTTGGTTTTGTTTATTTATAAAGTTTTTCTGAGGTCAGCAACAATATTCTGGATTTTGTAAATGTTGATTATGTCTACATTTCCCCCCCTTTTTTTGTTAACTTCTTTGTATTTTTTTTCTTGTACATGCATTGTGGGAATAATTTTAATTAATTTTAGGCGTTACAAGGGAATTCAGAAATGTGTATATAGTTTACTAAAAAGCATTTCTTCTGAAAAAAAGGAGAACGAATAAAAATATATAAAGATGGAGTTCCACTCTGAGTTAAATCAATGTCAAAAGTGGAAGTGGAAGGAAACAGTCCAAAACGTACTAATTCATGGCATGCCTTAAAAACTAGCAATGGGAAGGTGAGGAGAATGTATAACGAGAACGACAGAAGAACAGAAGGAAAACAAAAGACCAATCAATGCCAACTTGGGTTTGAGAATTCTCACCAAAACAAAACAAGGAAGGGAAGAAAGTTTTGGTGTAGTTTTGGGATATTATTTTAATATCTGTTGAGTATTGTTATGGAAGGCGATCTATTAAAATACTTTCCATAGTACCGATTGCTTATTTTGTTTTTCTTCCTCTCACTGGCCTGCCTAAATATTCAGTTTTGGGTCCTGAGGAAATGCAGAAATTTGAAAGAAGTGGCTACATGACTGGCTTGCTGTGAGTTTTCCGGGCTGTATGGCGATGCTTCAGAAGCATTATCTCCTGACGTTTCCCCCACATCTATGACAGGCATCCTCAGAGGTTGTGAGGTCTGTTGGAGACTAGGAAAAGTGGGTTTCTATATCTGTGGAATGCCCAGCGTGGGAGAAAGAACTCTTGTCGCCACAACACTTTCCCTTATCGGGTTGTTGTGAGTTTTCCGGGCTGTATGGCCATGTTCCAGAAGCATTCTCTTCAGAAGTTTTGCCTGCATCTAGGGCAGGCATCCTCAGAGGTTGTGAGGTCTCTGAGGATGCCTGCCAGAGATGCAGGCAAAACGTCAGGAGAGAATGCTTCTGGAATACGGCCATAAAGCCCAGGAAAACTCACAACAACCCAGTGATTCCGGTCATGAATATACAATATTTTCCCCTATCCTTTCCCCAAGGACAGTCATAATGTCGCCATTATTGGTCTCATCAGGTCTCGGCAGAAGCAATGATGATAATGAATAGGGACTGGATTTAAACAAATTGGAAAACAAGTGTGTTGTTTTTTGTGTGGGTGTTTTAAATACCCTGTAAAATACGTTTTATGTGGAAGACTGGGGCCCCTTCCACACAGCTGAATAAAACCCAACATTTTCTGCTTTGAATCGGAATATATGGCAGTGTGGAGTCAGATAATCCAGTTCAAAGCAGATATTGAAGGATTTTCCGCCTTGATATTCTGGGTTATATGGCTGTTTGAAAGGTCCCTGGGATACTGAAATAAGTCCGTGCATTTGTACTAATGCTTTGATACTGTTTAATACGTAGAGATTGGATTTCCTCCCTTCTTTGGTTCTGATGTTGAGTTCGAAAGGCAAAAGTTGAGGCTGCGCTTTCTCCATCAAGGTCCCACTTTTTAACATTTCCTGAAAAGTCGCTCCGGGGGAAATGGGGTTCTTAACAAGAGTGGGAGGAACCCCCGGAGGTCTGGAAAGGGGGGTAAAGGGTTCAACGCAAGGATTAATGGCTTCCCTTTTATTGTTTGTATCAGTTGCGGAAACCGCGGAGCCCGGATTCGCCACCTTTGGGTCCCGAGTCAAAGCCCAGGCGGAGGAGAGGCGCCGCTCGCTCGCTCCCTTCCCTTGTCCAAACCCATAAGCCAAGAAGTAAGTCCCTCAGCTGTCTTATCACGAAGTAAAAGAGTGTTCAAGGATGGGTCTGAGGGCCCTTCCTCACAGCCAGAATATCAAGGCAGAATATCCCACAATATCTGCTTTGAACTGGGTTACCTGAGTCCACACTGCCATGTATTCCGGTTCAAAGCAGAAAATGTGGGGTTTTATTCAGCTGTGGGGAAGGCGGGGCGGGGGGCAGTTCTCTAGAAAGAGTTGGAAAAATGTGAGCCGATCCCTATCGATCTGAATAACTCGCTCTTAGAAGTACTTGCAAACCGGAGTTGTTTGTTCTTTTTATTTTGCGAAAAAAATTAGAAACTATCTCCTTCCCCCTCACGATTTCCTTAATGTCATTTGGGTGTCGTGTGTCCCCCCCCTTTCCCCCTCTATTTTCTCAGTCAAATATCTAAAAGCCGGAGGAGTTTTGAGATATATCTTTCTAGGTTGGCCAGATCAGGATCTTAAATCAGACCTTGCAAGAATAAGTTTCTGTATCTCAGCAAGGCAAAGGAGGCTGGCTTTTGTGTGTCTTCCTGAAATGTCCTAGAAATAATAATAATAATAATAATAATAATAATAATAATAATAATAATAATAATTTTCGTGTCGAGAGCGACTTGAGAAACTGCATGTCGCTTCTGGTGTGAGAGAACTGGCAGTCTGCAAAGATGTCGCTCAGGGGACGCCGGGATGTTTGATGTTTTACTATCCTGTGGGAGGTTTCTCTCAGCTCCGCATGGGGAACTGGGGCTGACAGAGGGAGCTCACCAGCATAATAATAATAATAACAATAATAATGTTATTAATTATTAATTATTATTATTTTGTTCTTGTGGGTTTTTTCGGGCTATATGGCCATGTTCTAGAGGCATTTCTCCTGACGTTTCGCCTGCATCTATGGTAAGCATCCTCAGAGGTGAGGTCTGCTGGAACTGGGCAGAACTGGCATGGATTCCAGCCATGAAAGCCTTCGACAATATTATTATTTTATTTATAACCCGCCCTATATCACCGAGTGGACCCAGGGCCATGAATACACCTGTGCGTTCGGTAGCTCGTAATATGTTTGTGTGTATATATATACACACATACATAAATTAAATACACCCACGATGATATGTATATGTATTCCTATATGCGTGTTCATGTAAATGACCGAGCGCACACACAAAATGTTTTATGGCCCCTTCTACACTGTCATGTAACATCCAGATTGTCCACTTTGAACTGGATTATAGGGCAGTGTAGACTCGTATAATCCAGTTCAAAGCAGATAGTAGATTGTCTGTTTTGATAATATGGATTCTATGGCAGTGTAGAAGGGGCCTGGGTGTATTGATATGAAGTGAAAGATGTCAGCCTGGTAGGGAGGAAAATAGGAGATATGTAATCAATTAACCACCATGCCTGCAAAGAATATTAAGACCTTTTCCTAAGGGAGGCGAGAGAGGAGGGAAAGGGTGGGTGGAGGGAGCTCCCAATGGAGGCCACATCCTGGGTTGCAGAGTTTGCCTCGACTTTGGAGAAAAGTCGTCTTTCGAGTTATTTTTTTTCCCCTTTTGGCTTAACCTTAGTCCTAAGTAAGTAACGTATGACCAACGGTGACCCTTCCAAAACATACCGGTTAATATCCCAGTTCAAACGGGTGGGGAAAAATAAACTTTCTTCCTTTGCTGTTTTTGTTGTTGTTCCCAACCGGGGCAAAGTTTCCACAGGACGCCTTGCTTCCATTGGGAAAGAGATGGGCGTCATTGGTCGCCCTGTATCCTTTCCTCTCCCAGAAACCAGGAGGAAGCGGTGGCCTCCCTTCGCTTGGTTTTGGGGAGGAAGGAGGTTGGTCGGGCTTGGCCAGGCTTGGCGCTCCCTTTGATCTTTTCCCCGGAGACGCGGGTCATAATAACCTTCATCAAACCTTGACCGAAAGAGAAGTCATAATAACGTGGGGTTTTCTTCTTCAAAAGATAGGCGTAGGTTCAATACAACTACATAAATGGTGAACATTTTTTATTTGAATGATTTGACTTGCGCTATTAATTCCCGTTTCAAAGGAGAGTTGTGTCTGAGGGTCCTTCCACACAGCCCTATATCCCAGAATATCAAGGCAGAAAATCACACAATATCTGCTTTGAACTGGGTTATCTGAGTCCACACTCAGATAATGTGGGATTGTTTTCCCCTTGATATTCTGGGATATAGATCTGTGTGGAAGGGCTCTCAGATAACCCAATTCAAAGCAGATATTATGGGATTTTCTGCCTTGATATTCTGGGATATAGGGCTGTGTGGAGGGCTTTCCTCTTCACGAGGTACAGGATGCGGAATAGGACCGAGGAGGGTTGTTGTTACATGGGAAATGGCTGAAGTGGGAAGGGGAGGTCGGTAGGGATCAAGGGAAGGAAGGAAGAAAGGAAGGAAAGAGCGAGCTTTGATGGCTGTGGGTTGCCCACAGTTGGGATTGGAAAGCACAGCCAGAGTCCCCGAGGTCAAAGCCCCAGCCCAAAGGGGGGAAAGAGAGGCAAAGAGCGAGGCGTTCGGCCTCAAGGACACCCTGATGGGTCACTCTGGGCCTCTCCGCTGTTTTCTCGGGACGCGGGTGGGAGGGTCGAAAGCAGGCCTGGCAGGCACCATCCGTGGAGGAGGATTCGACCTCCCTCCCAGCGCCCCTCGGCCCAATAACCCTCTTTTTCGAGGCGGGGAGAAAGGGGAGGTCCGGGAGGACATGGGCCGCTGCCCTCTCCTCTCCGAGCCAAGTGGCCGCAGAGGGAGGGAGGGAAGGAGGAGGGGGAGCCCGTGGGACCTGCTCAGGGAAGCGTGAAGAGCCTCCCGGCCAAGGCCTCGCGGGACAATGGAGGGCCCAGGGAGGGGGAAGGGGGCGGCGATAGGCCTGCCCTTTGCCAGCCCCAAAAAGAGAGAGGGAAGGGAGCTTCTGCGCCCAAGGAAAGCCCGGGGGCCTCTGCCGACCCTTCCCGCCTTCTCCCAGGAGAGCCTGGGCCCCATCCCTACTGGCCCCTTTTGTAAAGCTCGAACTGCAGCGGCCAGACAACAAACTCCCACAAAAGAAAGAAAACAAGCCCTGAATGTGCTTCACTACTCGGCAGTTTCTGTGCCATCCCGACCCAGGCCAGGTTCCCGAATTTCCTATGTACTTATCTACACTTCTCCTTGTACCGGCAGGACTGCTGACCGATAGGTCAGCGGTTCGAATCCGGGGAGAGCGGGTTGAGCTCCCTCTGTCAGCTCCAGCTCCCCGTGCGGGACCTGAGAGAAGCCTCCCACAAGGATGGTAAAACATCAAACATCCGGAGCGTCTCCTGGGCAACGTCCTTGCAGATTCTCTCACACCAGAAGCAGTTTCTCAAATTGCTCCTGACACGAAAAAAAACCCCACACTTCCTTCAATACCGGTTTGAAACGGCACTGAATGGTGTGTAGACGGGGCCCATGTTGGTAGAAAGTGACCTGCAGCTTGAAATGCGTTTTTTCCCCTTCTGATGCCTGCCCTGCCCTCGAAAGCCTTTTGTCACTTTAACGAGCGAGAACTTTCTCTGCTCCCATCTGCCTGGCTTCCGAAGAGCCCTTCCTCCCGGGTTCTCCTTCACGGCCTTCGCCTTTCTCCCACGCATCTCCGCCCCTTCCTCTGTCCTTCTTCCCCGTTCCGTAATCGCAGGTGTTTTTCAAGGGCCCTGCCACACAGCCATATAAACCAGAATATCAATATCTGCTTTGTACTGAGTTATCTGAGT